GCCGAGAACGGCCTTGAATTTCTGGTCCCCCTGCCTCCGCTTCCCAAGTTCTGGGTTTGCAGGCGTGCACCACCACACCTAGTTCGTGTGATACTGGACGGGACCCAAGGCCTTGTGCATGCCGTACAAATGCTACAGAATGAGCTCCATTCCCAGTCTGGAACTTAGCAACTTAGATGTGGAATGAACGAGGAAGAGAGGGTCTTGTGGGGTTGAAATTTTAGGCAGAGAGGTTAGGGCTTGGTCCCAAAGGCACTGGAAGACACAGCGTGCTTTAAACATAGACTGGGCCGTTTCCCAGTTAGGATTTTTTTTAAAAAGATTTTTTTTTAATTTCTAATTATGTGCATGTGTGTGTGTGTGTGTGTGTGTGTGTGTGTGTGTCTGTGTGTGTTTATATGCACATGCGTGTCGGTTCCCCTGGAGCTGAGTTAACAGGCACTTGTGAGCCATCTCCTCTAATGCAGATGCTGGGAGCTGAATCCATGTCCTCTGGGAAAAGCAGCAAACACCCTTAGCCACTGAGCCGTCTCTCATCATCTCATCCCAGTTTTTTGTTTTGTTTTAAGATAGTTTCACTATGCAGATGTAGCTGGTCGGCAACTTGATATGTAGACCAGGCTGGCCCTGAACTCACAGAGATCCATTTGATTCTGCCTCGTGAATGTTAGTATTAAAAGCACACACCAGCCGGGCGTTGGTGGCAGCACACGCCTTTAGTCCCTGCACTCGGGAGGCAGAGGCAGAGGCAGAGGCAGGTGGATGTCTGAGTTCGAGACCAGCCTGGTCTACAAGAGCTAGTTCCAGGACAGCCTCCAAAGCCTCAGAGAAACCCTGTCTTGAAAAACCAAAACAAACAAACAAAAAACCCAAAAACAAAAACAAAACAACAACAACAAAAACACATACCACCACACCCAGCCCCTCAAGTAAGATTTTAAAAGTATTTTTATCTTTTTCTGAGTGTAGACCAGACACGGAGGAGGTATCATTATGCCGAGCAAAGTATTACCCTCAAACCCCATTGGGATGACGGTGGGCCCTGGACCTGATTAGCAACGGTGGTGGTTAAAGTGGCTGAATTATGGGTAGATATGCTGATGCGTCAGGGTTGAGTGTGAACTGGGTTGTGTGTCAAGAACTCTCCCACTTATCAGCTTAAGCCCCTGGAACGATGGAACCACTGTAGCTGTGGAAAAGACCAGGAGTGTGTGATATCCCAGAGTGGACTGGTTTGGCGGGCCTGAAGGAGTAAGACATGTCCAGTTAACTGATCCTGGTGTCTGGCGCCCGGAACCTGAGAATTGAAGAGGGATCGTTTCACAGACTTGATCAGGAGTGGCCACTCAGGATTTGAGAGCGATGAAGAAAGGCTTGTGGTGTGTGTGTGTGTGTGTGGCTGTGAGAGGAAGAATCCAGCAGGTGGCTGAGCAAGGGGAGGAGTCGATGAAGAGCAGAAAGGAAATGAAGCACTGGTATGGAAGAAAGACTGACTTCCTGTATGTCTATGGAGTTGATGAGGCCACCCCCACCTCACCCCACAGCACAGTGACTGGGATTATCTGTTTATGTTTGTTCTGAAGGGCCAACTTTGTGTGTATGTTGTTTGGTTTGGGTTTCTTTTCCTTCTTTCTTTTTTGTTTTTTTGAGACAGGGTTTCTCTGTTTAACAGCCCTGGCTGTCCTGGAACTCACTTTGTAGACCAGGCTGACCTCAAACTCACAGAGACCCACCTGCCTCCTGAGTGCTGGGATGAAAGGCGTGCACCATCATCACCCAGCTAGTGTGTGTGTGTGTGTGTGTGTGTGTGTGTTGAGACAAGATCTTTCTACATTAGCCCTGGCTGTCCTGGAACTCACTATGTAGACCAGGTTAGCCTTGAACTCACGGAGCTGTGCACCTGCCTCTGCCTCCTGAGCCAGTACTACAGGGAAGGAAGAGAAGCGTCTTGAGAAGCATCAAGGGGAGATAGCCACTAGGACAAGGAGCTGGCTCCCGCCTCACACAGCCATAGCATAGACACTGTCTTATTCTTGCTGTTGCAGGGCCTGATGGCCTTTGAGGATGTGGCTGTGTACTTCTCCCAGGAGGAGTGGGTGTTCCTGGATGCAGCCCAGAGGGCCCTGTACCGCCATGTCATGCTGGAAAACTTCGCCCTTGTAGACTCCATAGGTAAAGCCCTGAATCCTCCATTGGAAGCAAAACTGGGACCAGGTATGGCAGCAAGCTGAGGGGACCAGGTTTGGGGGCCATTACAACTGTCCCCTCTCCTTCCTACTGTCTATGAGGAGGGCCCTCTGTCCATGGGCCATGTGAGGAAGGTTTGGGCCCTGAACATATGCAGTTCGATAAGCTCAACCATTTCCTGTATCCCTGAGGTGCTGGCTGGCTATATTCTGTGCCCGGTTCTAGCCCCTTCATTTGGAGCTGCTTACCCAGTGGTTTCTTATGGGAACCCTTGAGCTGGCCCTGTGGTCCTCCTGTGTGGTATGACATTTGGGTACGTAGATTACATAGTTGCTTGTCCATGATATCACTCGGCATCCTGCTCTTTGCTGGGGCTGGACTGTCCCAAGCTTGGACTGGCCTCACACGCTCCGCTCCTTCTCCCTTCACAGGACTCTCCATCTCCCGGCCTCGTGTGATCATCCAGCTCCAGCGTGGCGAGGAACCCTGGGTCTCCAATAGGACAAATACAGGCCCAGGCAGGGGCACCCGCAGGAGACCCAGCCTTGGTGAGTTAGTTAGGCTCCGCCTAGGGCTACTCCTTTCTCCCCTCAGACACCTTCCTTTTCTGTCTCCAGTCTAGCTCCCTTCCCTTTCTGAGCCCTTTTCTCATCCCGTGGCCTTTCCTTAAAGGAAAAACTTGAAGGACACAGGTGCTGCGTTCACGCAGGAAACCTAAAGGCCCTCCCTTGCCTGTGCTGTATGTGTGTGGCATCCCCTTCCACATCGGGCTGTCACATTTTCGGGGTCATTCCTTCTTCCCAACTGTTGCCTGAGCCCTCTGGCCAGGCTGTTCCTGGCACTGCGCACACAGCACTGGCCAGTACACTGCTGTGTAGTGTGGGGATAATGCCAGGCAAAGGCAGTCAGCAAAAGGTATTGATGAGTACTGCAGAGACGCAAGATGAGCACAAGCAGAAAGCAGGCTAGCCCATGCGTGTTTGAGAGAAAGGCCCCCGGGACAGCCAGTGCGGAGTCTTGGCCACGGAGAGGGAGAGCCGTTGCTGTCAGGAGAGCCCTACCAACTACTCCCAGGGTCAGCCTATGCCTCTTTTTCCCCCTAGCCTTTTACAATCACTTCATAGGGTCCCACTGACTGCCCAGGCACTCTGCTGTGGTCACTTCCTGGCCAGATGACCCAGGTAACTAACTTTCCTCTGCCTTCAGGATCCAATTACAATGCCAGGGGCAGACACATGCCTAGCGATGCAGCGCTTCCAGGGGCCACCTGTGACAGTCCTGATGGGATACCTACTAGTGCCCTTCCTCCTGCTGATGCCTGCCGGGATGCAAAAGTCCTGGAGGGCCACCAGAGTGCCTCCCTGTCTCTGCAGAGAAAACCTACAGGGGTATCTGTGATCTACTGGGAGCAGCTACTGCTAGGTCCCAGCAGCAGTGAGGCAACTGTGAGCCTGCGGTTGACCTCCCCTGCGGGGCTTCCTGAAGATGGTTCATCCAGAGTAAAGGCCTTCTCTGACATCCTGGCCCCGGGAAAGCAGCCACGCACGGCAGCGGAGCCCCAAAAGCCAGAGATGCAGCTAACCCCTGGGAGAGTCTTCCCAAGCATCCCAGACCTCCATGGGGTGGAGGAGGGACACGGAATGAGCGGGGCTTGGCACGAACCTCAGAGAGACCCCAGTGTTCTGGAGCCCCCAATATGGGATGAGCTAGGCGGTGCTCTCCAGACTGGCCCAGGTCTTCTCTCTGGGGACAAACCTTTTGAATGCAGGGCATGCAACAAAGTGTTCGTGAAGAGCTCCGACCTCCTCAAGCACCTGCGCACCCATACAGGAGAACGGCCGTACGAGTGCGCCCAGTGCGGCAAGGCCTTCAGCCAGACATCCCACCTGACTCAGCACCAGCGCATCCACAGCGGGGAGACGCCCTATGCATGCCTGGTGTGCAGCAAGGCCTTCCGACACAGCTCCTCCCTGGTGCGCCATCAGCGCATCCACACGGCCGAGAAGTCCTTCCACTGCAGCGAGTGTGGCAAGGCCTTCAGCCACGGCTCCAACCTCAGCCAGCACCGCAAGATCCACGCGGGCGGGCGGCCCTACGTCTGCGCTCAGTGTGGCCGCCGCTTCTGCCGCAACTCGCATCTCATCCAGCACGAGCGCACGCACACCGGGGAGAAGCCCTATGCCTGCTCCCTCTGCGGGGCAGCCTTCAGTCAGGGCTCTTCGCTCTTCAAGCACCAACGCGTGCACACGGGAGAGAAGCCTTTCTCCTGCCCGCAGTGTGGCCGTGCCTTCAGCCACAGCTCCAACCTCACGCAGCATCAGCTGCTGCACACGGGCGAACGACCCTTCCGCTGCGGGGACTGTGGCAAGGCCTTTGCCAAGGGCTCAGTGCTGCTCAGCCACCGGCGCATCCACACCGGTGAGAAGCCCTTCGTGTGCACACAGTGTGGCCGCGCCTTCCGCGAGCGCCCTGCCCTCATACATCACCAGAGGCTCCACACGGGGGAGAAGGCCCTGCAGAGGCCCCGGGGTGGCATGCACTCCCAAGCCAGGTCTCTGGGGGCATCCTTGGAAGGCACACTTCCCAAGGCCACCTTAGGCCCGGCAGCAGTCCCAAAGCTAGCTGAGACCTGAGGTCAAAGCTATGCCCTCGCACGCCGCCTTTGAATCCCTTTCACCCACTGTTGAAAAGTCCGTGTCCTCAGCCAGTCCACCGAGAAGCCTGGTTATGTGAAGAAGACTTGCCAGTCAGTTCTATTTACAGATGACACGATCTGCTGTTCAGCCACAATTCACACCTACACCCTGAAAGAAGCCATTCTGGAAAGGCATCCGGAGTATGCATGTACCCTCTGGGACTGGTGGAGCAGACAAGGACTGCCCCCAGAATCAGGGAGTGACCCACAGACATTATCTTCATGTTGATCAGCGTTCCCTGACTGTGGCTTTGAAAACAGGAAAAGAGCAGGCAGTAGATAGAGACGGCCAGAGGAATCTGCCTGGGCTCAAACTAGCAGCTAGAGATATATACCCCCAGGGCTCAGTGCATTCAGTCAGTTTCCTTGCTGCGAGCCTCAGGCAAATAAATGGTTTGTTTCTGAACCTCGGCTTTCTCCTGTGAAAAAATGAAAAGAGAAGGAGATTTGGGTCAATGGAGGGGAGTATTGAAAAAAAAAAAACACTAGGCTGGGTGTTGGTGGAGAATGCACGCCTTAATCCCAGCACTCAGGATAGGCAGAGGCAGGCGGCTCTCTGTGAGTTCAAGAGCAGCCTGGTCTACAAGAGCCAGTTTCAGGACAGGCTCCAAAGCCACAGAGAAACCCTGTCTCGAAACCCCCCAACACAAACAAACAAACCAAGGCAGAAAGTATTAAACGGATGTACACAGACATGCCATTGGATGTCAGCAGAGATTTGGGGACCTGGCTTTAATCAGGGTTCTGAGAGGGGCCATAGGATAAACAGTTTGTCTGCAGCCCAGTGTAAATAGGCTCATCTATGTCCCCTTGGTGGCCACAGGTGTTTGGGGGAGGCCTGGAGACCTGGGCAGAGCAGGACTGCCCCAGAGCAGCCGTTCTGCATTGCCTCTGTGGATCAGGGTGTGGGAAGGGTAAGGTGGGGAGACAGAGGCATTGCTGTGAGGGCACCTGCTCTTGAGGCTGAGTGCGTGTGCAGAGTTGACTCCAGCCCTGTGGGAACTCCAGGGCCATCACCTCAAGACCCTTGCAGGTTTGGCAGTGTCTACCTGTAACCCTAGCACTTGGGAGGCTGAGACTGAAGGATCTGGAATTAAAAAGCCAGACTTCACTGCACAGCAAGTTTGAGGCCTGTATAGGGCTACTGAGACAGTGTGAAAAAAAAAAAAGGTCAAATGTGCTGATACCTTTAATCCCAGCACTCAAGAGACAGACACAGGCAGGTCTACACTGCAAGATTCAGAGCAGTTGTAGCTACATATAAGAGATTTTTTTAAAAAAAAAAAAAAAAAAAAAAAAAAAAAAAAAAAAAAACCCAACCCATCTTGCAGCTATCCTCTGTAGTTAAGACACCATCCCACTGATTTGCCAATGGAATCAGGCACCTCTGTCCATTCAACATCATTAGTTCATGCAAGGAGGGGGTGTTGTTGCAGGACCCGGCTGCCCAAGACCCTGGAAGGGGTTTTTCTCTGAGATAGGTCTCCTGATACCCGGGAGACCTACTCAGCTCTTGGATGGAGCTGTGTAATGCCAGGAGGGCTCAGAACCAAAGACATCTGTTGAGCCAATGAGTTTCCTCGATAGTCACAGGAACCTGAAGCCGATGTCCTCAGCCTTCCCGGCCCCTCAGACGGGGGTCAATACCATCTTCTCATCCTCACCAGCTTCCTCTGCTGTGCCCCTACTGCCCATTAGTTCTATCCTCCTTGCATCTGCCTCTTCCAATACCCAGAACTGTTCTGTGTTCCCCTATGTGTCTGGTGGTCCCCAGCAACTATGGCTATCTATGTTGGTGGGCCCCTCTTAACAGGCAGACTGTAAAAATGCCCTGGGGCTTTCTAAGTCAAAATGTTAAACTGGCTAAGTTTGGAAGCACCTGAAAATATTCGAAACACTGGGAAAAACTGAAACTGGAGGATGGACTGTTAGAGACCAAACTAGGATGTAGAAACCCTGTTTCAAAAAAAAGAAAATCCCCAAAGAGGTGGTGTCGAACATCTTTAATCCCAGCACTGAGGAGGCAGAGGCAGGTAGATCTCTGTGAGTTTGAGGACAGCCTGGTCTACAAAGTTCCAGGACAGCCAAGGCCGGGAAATTAAAGAGAAAAGGAAAGAAAAAACAAAATGAAAACACAACCATACACTTAGCTCTTCGCTCACGTAAGTCTACAGGTAACAATGGGGGAAACATGACAGTGGCACTTGGAACCCAGAAGTAGATGAGTCATCCTTGATTCAAGGGAAGCCAAATACTGAAATTGACACGGGGGTTTGTCTCATGACTTTCCTGAGCAGACATACACCTACACTCCCCAATTAGGGAAAGAGAAAACACAAATGAAAGATCCTAAATCCCACTTGGCAAATAAGTTTATTGGTGTAAGGAGTCAGGCACTATGCTGGCCTGCTCCTGTCACCTGGCAGAATGCACTCAGGCAGTATCTTGGTCAGCCCAGGGTTCCATGATTCCGTGGTTTGCACGCAGGTGCAAAGGACTCCTTTAAAAAGAAAGACCTCTGTCTACTTTCTTCTGCTCTCTCTTTCCCTGGTTCCCCTGGGGCAGACAGAGACAGAATTTTTCCTGTCTCCCTCGTCTCTTCTGTCCTCTCTGTCTCTGTATCTCTCTCTTTACCTCTTTTCTCTTTCCTTCCCCTTCCCTCCCCTTTCTAATAAAACTCCTCACTTAAGCTCTGTCTGCCAGGCATGTTTGTCTCTCTGCCTTGGTCAACCTCACCTGCCATGGAATCTGCCAAGTCCCCCCAGGCAAGATTCCCCTCAAAGGTTACCATAACAATTGAGGTTACAAGAACATGGGTGACTGAATAATCCCAACTCTAATCAGTTTTTTCACCTTAAAATTCAGCTTGTTTGTTTCTGAGACAAGGTTTCTCTGTGTAACAGCTCTGTCCTGGAACTCACTCTGTAGACCAGGCTGGCTTTGAACTCAGAGATCTATTGCCACTGCCTCCTGAGTGCTGGGATTAAAGGTTTGCCCTACCACTGCCCTGTCTAAAATTCAGCGTTTCAAAGATCACACACAGTTGGGCAGAAGGACTGGTGACCCCCCTACCCCACCCCAAGAGAAAATGTCAATACCCCAGTATCACAGACCTAACTATTTGCTGTATAATTTCTATGCATTAATTTCTAAGGGCAAGGTCAGTAGGTTGCCATAGACCCTCTGCTTTAAGATGGCTGAGAGGCCAACTTGGGGAACTTAGATCCTATCTCAAAAAAAAAAAAAAAAAGAAAGAAAAGAAAAAAAACTATTTTTTAATGATTGCATTGGCCAACCCAATATAACCATAGTAATTAAGGGAGTTGGGGCTAGCTCAATGGTTGTTTTCCTGGTAAACATTCGGCTATAAATTTAAAGCCCAAGTATACCACATGATTCAATCAGGTCTACCCTGAAGCACAGAGAAGGCTTGGGAGCCAGCTAACCTTGGACGGGAGCCCTAGAACAGAGATGCTTCCAGGGACACCTGTGTCCAAGAGGACAGCTGGCTGGGAAGTCCCTTAAAGCCCAGCCTCTCCCCACTGGGTGGGTATGAGAGCTTTGTCCACAGAATCTATGAAAGACCTCATCTCCCAAGATAGTTCAGCTGGTAAACCCAGTTGACAAACTCTACCCGCACAACTGCTTAAGAGTTTCAGATGTGGAGAATTGCTGCTCACCGCTAGCTGCTGGCAGCCGAGGAGGGGGTTCTCAGGAATCAGAAAAAAAAAACCAAAAAACAAACAAACAAACAAAACAAAACAGAATAGACAGATCCGCTTCAGGACTGAATGATTCTATCATGGTTCAGACTCTTGGTATGTGGAAACAAAATTAACCTCATGTGCACATAAATTTAATAGCCCTTACTTGCTGTGTGTGGTGGTTCAGACCTTTAATCTCAGCAATCAGGAGGCAGAGGCTGCAGGATCTCTCAGTGAGCTCCAGGCCACCTGGGGACTTGAGACCCTACCCCCCCAAACAAACAAATAAAAGCCATTAACTTTATTTTTTAACAATTTAACTTTGTTTTTAAATGTGCATTGGTGTGAAGGCATCAGATCCCCAGAACTGGAGTTACAGACAGTTGTGGGCTGCCATGTGGGTGCTGGGAATTGAACTCTGGTCCTCTGGAAGAGCAGCTAATGTTGTTAACCTCTGAGCCATCTCTCCAGCCCCTCACCTCACCCCATTAACTTTATTTTTAAAAAGCCTTTTTCCCAAAAGACTTTGGAGAGGGAAAAAAAAAATGAGTAAGGGCCACCTTGTCTAACTGCAGCCTCCAAATTAAAAGTTGAGTGTGTCTCATAATCTCAGACAGAGCCCTCCATCTCCATTTGCAGTAGGATCTCTGTCTAAA